TCTCTTTCATTGCGTATGATCTCCTGTTTTGATAAGACGGACCTCAACGCCTAGGCCTGAGGGCCCTTTTGCAGTTGACATGCCCTCACTTCTTTTTAGGGTCCGCTTCCACTCGAGGACCGATCCTTTTTTTTTTCAAAAGTCATGGTTCTACCAAAATTACTTGTAGGTAGTCCTTTATTTCGCCAAGGACCAGTCCCCCCAATTCCCCCCCCCCCCCCCCCGCCGGTGAAGCCCGCTAGCGCTGCCTGCCCGTCACCATCGCGCGCGAGATCCGATAGGCATGGTCCCCGCCCTGCGCATAGGGATCCCGCAGCCGGTAGAGGCCCGCGAGCAGCCCCAGGTCCTTCCTTTTTTCAAAGTCTCGGTTCTACCAGAGTTAGCTGTAGCCAGTCCGAAATTCCGCCAATCCTTAATCGCCCAATTGCCCCCCCCCCCCCCTAAGAACCTACTTTGCGTCTTGGTCGACCACCGCTAAAAATGTGACACCTTAACAGGAACGTCGAAGCCCACTATACCGCAACTTTATGGATGCGAACTTTGGCGATTTTATGTGCTCTGGAAAATCCGCAGAAAAATCCAAAATTTTAAAAATCCATAGATGAGGTCGTGTAATTTCCAAGAAAAAAATCAGAACATTTTCAAAAAATCATTTAGACCACGAAATAATCGTTGCGCCAATTCGACACATTTTCTATTCTTGCCACTCAACAGTATGTGAGGCAACTGAAAAAGTACTTTAAATCCAGCGAGTTTTCACACTAAGCAGAATGCGTGAAAAAAAACTGAAAATTGAAGTACTCGTAGATTTTGTTGTGATCTTTCCATAAAAAATACTGAATATTTTTTTAAAAATCATTCCAACTGTGAAATAGTCGCAATCGTAATTTGATCCATCATTTTTCGATTTTGCCATTGACTCACTCTCTCTCTCTCTCTCTTTCTCTCTCTCTCTCTCTCTCTCTCTCTCCCTGCTAGTTCCCCCCCCTCCCCCTCTCTCTATCTCTCTTTCTTTCTCTCTCTCACTCTCTGTCTCTCTCTCACTCATATCAATAAATGAAACTTTTTTTTTTTTTTTTTCCCCTTCTCTCTCTCTCTCTGTCTCTCTCTGGTAGCCCCCCCTCCCTCTCTCTCCGTCTCTCTTTTTTCCTCTTTGTCACTCTATCTTGCCGGCGACCATTTTCATACGAAGATATGCGGCCGCGCCGGGTGTGTCCGTGGTCCAACATCCGGTGTCAGTGTGGAGACGGCGTGGGAGACGGCATGGTGCAGCGCCGTCCGGCGGAAAAGGGCATGAGGCAGGCCACGAAAAAAAAAAAAAAAAAAGGGGGACCTCTACGTTTGAAATTCAAAATTTGAAGTACAGTTGTGGTGACGATGACGACGGTCGGCTTGCAGCACACAGACGGTGCAGGGCTGAATCGACCTTAGCGGCAGCAGCCCTTGCACCCACCTCCCAGTCAGTGTATGTGCGTGCGCCGGGTGCGTCCATCACCGTCGAGCTCCTGCTCCACATCGTCCGCGCCGTCACGCGCTGTTCCACTAGGGGGACGACATTCACGGAAAGGCTGCAGCTTCTTGGACCTCTCCTCGGGGGGTGAGCGGGTTACGTCTCTGGGGTGCGAGGATCGAGACAGCAGCGGAGAGACGTCATCCCTGTGGAGGTGGTGGTGATGGAGGGCGGCGGAGAGGGCGGACGTGCGTTGTTGAAACCGCTTGAGTGGGCAACCGTGGCGGCAACCGTGTCAACCGTTATTCTTCGTTGTCAGCAAGATAGGGCATTGGGACGAATGAAGGAGCAGTTTGTGCGCGTAGAAGATGAACTTGATGCAAGCTGCGGATGACGACCCCGACAACATGGCAACTTTTGAGGTTGTCATTGAGTTGTGCTACACGTTGGGTTGCGACGTCATTCCACAAGCGACACCGAGGTGGTGGATCAAACGCAGAACGAGGGGGGCGTGAGAAGACCTTCGACAATGCGACGATGCCACGGATGACTACTTCAACGAGAAGCAGCACAGTGCTGAGGCAGCAAAGGGACCACCTGAAGCAGCACAACGATGAGGAGCAGCAGAGGGAGCCTGCGGTACAGGTCGGCCATGAACTGCACAGTGGAGAGGGCAGTAATGAGCACACGACGGCGAAGAAGGCAAAAGTCTTATCGTACATGCAGCATGTGACGACATGCATGGGAATACGACGCTTGTGGAAAAACCTCTTTTGTTGACGGACTGAAGGCGCCGCTGGGAAAATAAAAATATTTCGACCATTGATGGCAGCCAAAAATGATGATGCCTCTATCAAACCCGCACGCAAACCGGCAGAGGTCCTAAGATCGACTCGTCGTCGGTCGACTAGGACGCATGCCACACGCCACGTGCACACCACTATAACCAGCATAAAAATGAAAAATACACACACACACGCACGTATATATATACATATACAGAACGACACTGAGCAAACAACGCGACAACACTCTTCGTCCCTTAGTAGCCATCCTATAACTCTCCAATGTGAAAATCGGATAGGCGTCGCGCGTGAGACTTAGTATAAAACCGTGCGAACGCAGGGCTTACTCATATCGACTCGCAATGCCAGCGTACGCAAGCAGTCACAATGATGACGTACTATGTAGTACCCATACTCATGCGATTCTCGTTAATCTCGAGGGTCGCGTTGGACACTCAAGTGTCGGCTGACACGCGCCTTGAGAGACTGATCTTTCGACGCTGGACAACCGCCAAGTGCGGTTGAAAACCACACCCTCTTTTGCACCCTGCGGAGTCTTATTGCCATGGAGACCAGCTCCATCATCCAGGGCCTGGAGAGAAATCAAAGGGTTTGAGTTTGACGGTTGTCATGGACTACAACGTCCAACTATAAAAAAATTAACAAGCAAAATCAATCAATCAATAAATAAACATCCCAACACTCGTGTATAAAATCAGAACTCGAGATACAATAAAAGAAGGGGGAAACATAAACCCATCAGGTATGCAAATCGTGCGACACATGGTTGTCATTCTCACTGCCTCCAAGGTACGACTTATATACCAAGCTCCAGAATACTAACCTGCATAAAACACAGGCACGCACAATAGCCACATTGCCATACACAAAATGTGGTAAACTTTACTGTTCTCTGTAACTCACACCACACCTCACACACTCAAGCCTCAGTTATAGTCAAATTTTTCATAAATTTCATAAGTTATTTATAATGGTCATTACAAGAAGTCCGGTTAAACCCCTCAAAGAAACATCTCTCTCTCTCTCTCTCTCTCTCTCTCTCTCTCTCTCGTATCAACAAATGCAACAAAACTCTTTCTCTCTCTCTCTCTCTCTCTCTCTCTCTCTCTCTCTCTCTCTCTCTCTCTTTCTCTCTCTTTCGTAGCCCCTGTCCCCTCTCTCTCTCTCTCTCTCTCTTATGTTAGGTTTTAGTCTCATTGATTTGGCTACCTTAGGGCTGCGTTCCCCGCACCCACGCGGTAGACAATGATAGTGACAATCATGCCACACACACACACACACACACACAGACAAACTGAGAGAGAGAGAGAGAGAGAGAGAGAGAGAGAGAGAGAGAGAGAGAGAGAGAGAGAGAGAGAGAGAGAGAGAGAGAGAGAGAGAGAGA